AAAAAAAAAAAAAGGGAATACACGCAGCGTTAGTTGTAAACCAAATCCATACAGGCCCAGAAAGAGAATAAATAGCCGATGGCCCAAGTGAGTTTCTATTTTGTTTTTCTAAGACAAAAAGGAGGCATCCCTTCACGTTTCAGTCGCCGTTCTTCTTTTTTCTCCTTGCTCTCTTTCTAGGTCCATTCAATCAACAACTCACTCCTTCGTCTTCAGGATCCTTCTAGGTATGTCGGCCTGTTCTACCTGTTAGCATCTTTCTTTTTCCTTACTGTACTTTTCGCACAGTCGCTAGGACTGTCTCCATCACACTCTACCAACCATTTCGTCGCGCACTGCCAATCTGATCGTACGCGCGGCCCCCGGTACTCGCACCATTGCGCTGCTTTTCCTCCCACTGCGCAAGTGCCTGCCCAGCAGCCACCATGTGGTCCTCGATCTCCTTCGAGCTACGTCTGTGGTCGCGCAGCATGTCGAGGATCATCTCGCACTTGGCGTCAAGGTCCTTCGCAATGCTCGCCATGCCCTTACGCGTTTTGGCGTCGAGCGCGCCCATGTCACCCTGCAGACAGTCAAGCTCAGAGCGGTGGCGGGCGAGTTCCGCATCAACGGCACGGGCGCTATCCTCTACGCTTCGAAAATTCTTGTCGGTGCGCTCACCCAACTCATCTATCAAGCCATGCAACTTCTTCCACTCCTCACGACCTTCCCTGTTCTGCAATTCGCGAATTAGTTCTTGCATATGCCCGGTCTGCTGCATATGATCATGCTCAATCTCCTTGAGAGCATCACCAAGGTGCCGGTTCTGCTCAGCTGACTCTGCTATCACATCATCAATTTCCTGCTGCAGCTGGTCCTGCCGCTCCCTGAGAGGAGCCAGTTCCCGCCGCATGTTCTGCACACCAGAGTTGGCGTCGTCAGCCACATGCGCAGCTTCCTCTCCCAACTGCCGGGTATTCTTCACGTCCAGGACCAAGTTATCTAGTCCTTCAGTCACATCATCCAGCTTCTGGCGCATTTTGCGAAGAGTGTCGGGGCCGATGTTCCCAAGCGCCCTTTCAAACTCTTTCTGACGCGCCCCAATTTTATGGAGCTCATCTTCGATGTCAGTGAGCCGCTGAGCATTCAGTTGTTGGTATTTCGACTGCTGTTGCTGTTCCTCAATAATGTTCTGCAGCACATCATGAAGATGCGAGCCGTCCATTTGGAATCCCACTAGAGGACGGCTCTCCATGAAGTCCATCGCGTCTTCCATTGTTCCTTTTTCTTTATAAATATGAATAAAGGTCTTTCGGTTAGCTGTGTGGGAAGAGCCGATTCAGTCCACAAAAGTGCTCACATTGAAAAAAAAAAAACAAAGAAAAAATGATCAGCTGCCAGAAAGCTAATCAAACAAGTACAGCAATAGAGGCATCTTGACACAACCACCACCACCAACAACAAAAAATACAGCCTTAAAATCAGGGTCGATAGGTTGAATGAAGCGCCACCCATCTACTTTTTCACCATGTTGAAGCGGCGCTTCAAAGTTCTTTTTGAGGGGGTGACTGAAGGGGGAGGGGGGCGCAAACTTTCATTTGAATACGATATGCGGCACATTCATGAGCGCACAAACGCACGGTCACAGGGGACACATCGGCGTTGCAAGAAGCTCACTTGATAGGAGCTGTTGGGGGAAAGAGAGATCGTTGCGTGGGCAGGAGAAACTAACACCATTTTTGACATGATATTAGGTGACGCCGTGCCAAGGCTTCCTATACATCATGGGTGGCGTGTGCAGGAACGTGAGAGGTGGAATCTCCTCGTCATCAATATTCTCAAGGACATACGATGCTTCTGTCTGCTCTTCCCTACTCTCTGGACGCATGCGGCCGCCGTCACCATGTGTTTGGCTTTTCCTAACCGGTGCCGGTGAATAGGTGCGGTGCCTATTCCTGTTATCATTCAATTGTGGTTCACAGCTCTTGTCACTACAATCCTCCCGTCTGTGTTGGGAATAGCCTCCATATCGCTGACGCACTGCTCTATGCGGGCTCTGTGGCAATGGCACGGCTATGTTCACATCTTCTGCCCTGCCGGTACCACCCCAAGCACCGTTGGTTGAGACAGAGGAGTCAGCATCTACGAGACATACTCTCGGGGAATCTTCAATCCAGCGCAAGTACACAGAGCAACCATCTCGTGGTAGCTGTTTCAAATCCAGCACGTCTGCCAAGACAGTTGAGCCTTCGAGAGGAATAACGGCTGGCACACTAGGCAGAAACTGAAGATGCCCATTATCTTTTCGGTGAATGTACAATGACCCCTTTAGTGACCGTGACTTGAACGGGGTATTTGCGTAGCCGTCTTCTTGCTCGCGGCGTATCAATTTCTCAATTAACCGCCAAAGCCGGCGCATTGGAAACGAGTCTACGTCTATTCGTTGCACATGCAACTCTAAAGGGCTGAGGTAAGGTTTCATCTCAAGGCGCCACCGAGACGGCACCACGTCGATAATTCCAATCATTGTCATGGAGCCGTAAATGCTGTACCCTATAAGG